ACTTGAGGCCATTTCCTCTTGTCCTATCACTTGTTACTTGGGAGAAGAGACCAACACCCACCTCGCTACAACCTCCTTTCAGGTAGTTGTAGAGAGCAATGAGGTCTCCCCTCAGCCTCCTTTTCTCCAGGCTAAACAACCCCGGTTCCCTCAGCCACTCCTCATAAGACTTGTGCTCTAGACCCTTCTCCAGCTTTGTTGCTCTTCTTTGGACATGTTCCAGCACCTCGACGTCCTTCTTGTAGTGAGGGGCCCAAAACTGAACACAGTATTCAAGGTGCGGCCTCACCAGGGCCGAGTACAGGGGGACAATCACTTCCCTACTCCTGCTGGCCACACCATTTTTGATACAAGCCAGGATGCTATTGGCCTTCTTGGCCACCTGGGCACACTGCCGGCTCATGTTCAGCCGGCTGTCGACCAGCACCCCCAGGTCCTTTTCTGCCAGGCAGCTTTCCAGCCACTCTTCCCCAAGCCTGTAGCGTTGCATGGGGTTGTTGTGACCCAAGTGCAGGACCCAAAGTTAGCTTTCTGTAGTAAATGATGGAAAAAGCAACTGAGCCCCAGCTGACAGGGTGTTGCACACAAGCCTGTGCTACGTGAAGCACAAGAGGTGATTGCAGCCTCTTGAGGAGCGTCTTGCCTTGAGGACACAGAAGCAGGGACACGGGAACAGCTTTGTGCCGTAGAGTTAGGCTGGTTTGTCCTGCTCTGCTTGAACTAGGCGGGCACCTGTGCCGTCCTCAGGAAAGTTCCCTAACAGCAGGCTTGCCTGATTGCTCTTGAGCAAGCAGGCTGTCATTTGACAACACACATTAAAACATCAATCTGGTTTTGAAGGGTTTTTAAACCCAGTAGTCCTTACAATCAAATGTGACCAAAACTCCCGTACTGTGAAATCATGGGCTGTAGTGTCTCTGCACTACTACCTGTGGTAAGGGCTGCTTAGTTCTGGGGCATAGTGTGCAGCAAATCAGTAAATTACCTTAGCATGACTCCAGTGCAACACAAGCAAATAAATCAAGTAACAGGGAGCAGCACTGGCAAGCACATTGCAAAGACATCTAAACGATTCCTTGTGCGGCCAGCACAGGTCTGGCAGACCCAGTGCTGAGCTAGAGCTAATAAAACCTGGCAAACTCAAGCTGTGCCTGCATCTGTGGTGCAATTAATCTGTGACATGAAAAATCTGCCTGCAGATAACTGTAAGCTGACTATATGTACAAATTTAACAACTCACATTAATTAATACTTACAGCTAGATTGAAAAAAAATCACTAATATTTGGCAACAAATAGCAAATATCATTGCAACTCACAAGCGTGAAGTTCATGCATCAATAATTATGAGACAGATAGCAAAGTCATGATACTGTACATGTGCATTTTGATTTTGTAATTTAATTTTGATCTCCCTATTATTATCATCTCTTATGATAGACAATTAACATAAATTGCGTTACCATAGCACACAGAAGTCCCACTCACAGGCACTATTGCCTTGAGTGACACACAAATAGAGAACAAAAGGTAACACCGCAAAGTGTTAACACAGACCTATGAGACAAAAGATGACAGAGTATGAAGAGACGACGAGAATGGTCAACGTGCCAAGAAGAGATCATTGCATATTATCAGCTTAGCTACTGTCAGTTTTTATAGGCATCACAGTAAAACAGCCCATTAGGGAGGGAAGGCTTTGCATGATGATAACAAGTGCTTTTTGTTTAGAAATTAATTATAGTTTCTATACCATATTACCAGTGTTCCACCCATGTCAGTTCAAACAAAGAACAATTGCGTCGGGACAACAATTTCTGCTTCTCCTGTTGCTCTGACATCTGCAATCCACATGGGGTAGCTTCAGCAGTCTTTCCTCCTAAATCCTAATTTAGGAAGGTTAAGTGACCTAAGAGGGGAACACACTTGCTACCTATGGCAAAAGACAAAGCATTAGAGGCCACAGTGTCTGGGCAGTTTCTAGTCTCCTCTCTTCTGAGAAAAGTGTCATCTTCTGGAAAAAAAAGGCAGAAAGTCCAATCTCCTATAATCATCCTAAGCAGCTGCTCAACCGCAGGTGTTAGGCAAATGTAGACATCAGTAGAGGTTTATCCATGTGTCTGACATTAATAGCTGGTGCCTTTTTAAGATCATCTCTAGCCTTTACTGAAATCTTGCAGCTTGCAAAAAAGTCATGAGCCCTGGCAGTGTTGCAGATAGCTGTGAAGGCCTGCTGCGCAGCCCCCTTCTAGGAACGCCGTTGGCTATGTTAGAGTTTAGCTGGCTGAGTCCAAGGTCAGCTGCTCTGCTGACAAGACCCATTGTGAAGAAAGCCAGAAGCAAGGGCCTCCCCCTCCTTTTCCTTGGGAACTGCTTTTAAGCTGAGGCTGTACCACTGGCCCTCACCTGTGCTACATCGCAGCTGGGGAGCTGGGCAGCAGCTACATCTACACCTGGTCTCCTACCTCCTCAATTCTGACTCCGATCCTGGCTCGGACCTGCTGCCAGGGCTTCCTGGCTTGGTCTCGGACCTACCTCATCATTACAGACTTGCTGTGCGATCACCGGACTATGTCTGACCCTGATCACTGTCTCTGGCCCTGATCATGAGCCAAACATGCTGCTCCACATCCTGCTTCTTCTTGGTGAGGTCTCTGCTCCCACCTGGCTTGGTATCATGCTCCACCCATGGTTCACCTTCCCTTGCAGAGCAGTCGGCCCTCGTTACCCCCTGACATCGCCACACTAAACCCATTACCACACTGCCACACTTAAAAATTTAATCACACGGAGCTGTTGACGTGCAGAACAACTGTGCTGACTGTCCACAGAAAAAAAAGCATAAGCCACGTGAGGTAGCAGAGACACACAGATTAATCTCACAGCTCAGCTACCTGTCACAGCCATGCAGCTGCTCCACGCACCTTTGTTTCACATTAAATGAATTCCTACACTTCAAGGTTGTGTAAAGATTTGTAAAGCCAGCATGCCCAGCCGTCAGGACAGCTCTGACTTGGGGGAAGTCTTTGCAGAGTGCAGAACCAGGATGAAATTTCTTTCCTTGCATGGGGCTCATTAGGACTGCTGTGGCACTTCAGCTATTCTTGGCTGCTAGACTGGCTCTGGAGGCTGTAGAGAGCCAAGCGTACAGATGGTCAACATGCATATATTATGATTATTACTAGGCTGCAAGACCTGTATATGAACTAGAATCCTGTTGAGCTAGGTTCAATATATGTTGTGTATAAACAGAATACAGATTCACAAACATCTAAATATAAGACAGGATATGACAGACACACACAGATGGAGGAGAACCATTTTGGATAGTACGACAGACAGTGGTCTCAGTACACCAGGAAACTTACCATTATCGAATTTCATCGCAACAAGAGATAATCGTTAGGGAGGGTTTGAAGAAGAAAGGTGATACACTTCTGTGGATATTTAGGAGATCTGGGAAAAAAGTGAAGGAAACAATGTGAGCAAATAAGAGGACAATGAAAGAAAGTAAGATGCTTTTCTGAAAATTCAACAAGTGGCTATAAAATATTGATGTATTCAGCTGATGAGAGACAGGACCCAACTACTTGGTACAAAAGATAGATGATGACATGTGGAAAAGGGATAGGCTCTGAAAACTTGCAGTTAATAAAAGACACTTGCCATGACCAAAGAAAATAATGTTCTGAGAGTTAGGATGAAAGATGAAAACACAGAGAAGTGGTGTGGATGGATAGGGAGGACCATATAATAGAGATCTGATGCAGAGAGAATCCTAAAGACTTACGAATTGGACTTCAATAGGTGATTTATGTGATAATTTTAGCTGAACCTGTGTCTGCTTTGAAAAAAGGGATCGTCTTACCAATTTTCTGCTGGCCAGATGCCCAATAAACAAACTGTTAATTTATCTTTCATTTCTGACTTAAAAAACTAACTACTATTTGACTATTCCAAAATTACACAGTCTAGCAAGATTAAGCATCGAACAAGTGATTAGCATCATCTGATGTGATGGAATGACTCAAAAAATGGCAGATACCTGTGAAAGAACCAAATTGCCTAGTTCAAGCGTGCATTCACTGTGACAAGAAAACAGCAGTGAAGAACGTAGGAAGGGATGGACATCAGAGGCATGTATGCATTAATAGAGTAACAGTGGTGCCACCTTTCACTGCTTATGCAAGTATTAAATTGTTTTTGTTGCATCGTTTGTCACTGTGGTCATCCATTGCTGCTTCCTCTTCAGTTTACTCCTTTCTATCCTCAGTCCTACCGTTCACTCACCCAAACTACCCAAACCGCACTTCCACGCCTCACCCAATCAGTCTCCTCTGTCCTGAGATCTCCCAATAGAGAAAAGTCTTTCCTGCCTAACTTATTTTTCCAAAAGCATCTTCTTGGCCTTGCCTGCCTCCTTAACTCAAAGATTCCCCCTCAATTGCCCCAAGCACTTCTAACACCTAATTGTTTCCCGCTGCCACCATGCCAGCATGGTTCCTAACTCCACATGCATCCTCAGTTTCCTCTTACTCTGTTGTTGGTGACTTCTCCAGATTTTCCAAAGATAATTTCTGAAACCTTGACATGTCTTCTACATAGTACTGTAGGAAACAACACAGTGACTCACTGTCTTATTGCACTGTAAAACTTTGAATGTCTGTCTTTAAGAATATGTAGAGTGTCTCCTAAGGTATTCAAAATATAAGAGCTGGTGTGATTGAGTGTCTTAAGACACAATAGTTGTTTTGATTGCATTTAGAAATGTCATAAGATGCCAGAGTACATTGTCCTAGAATGTACATTTGTGTGTTTTACTTATGTTCACAATGGTAGAAACAATAATCAAAATGCAAAAAGAGAGCACAAATAATTTGATAGATTGCTTTACAAGTGTTTTATGGTAACTCTAATGGAAATCTGTGCTATTTAATGAGCTGCTTTCTTTTTCTGTTTTTTCCTTTGATCTTTACAGCTGTCTCCGAAAGAATATTTTCGAGTAGAGAAAGCAATATGCAACAGTGCTAAGATCCTGATGACAATACACGAAGAAAAAGAATGGAATTAAATTTATTCAGCAATTCTACTGTTGTAAACAGTTCATCCATCAAACATAAGCAGTTAGAAGGGTATAGCCTCTGGGAAGTCATTACTATTGCCACTGTAACTGCAATTGTAAGCTTAATAACCATAGTGGGAAATATTCTTGTAATGATATCCTTCAAGGTTAACAGTCAGCTCAAAACCGTCAACAATTATTACTTGCTCAGCCTTGCCTGTGCAGATCTCATCATTGGAATATTTTCTATGAACCTTTATACATCCTATATCCTCATAGGCCATTGGTCTCTTGGAAGCCTTGCCTGTGACCTGTGGCTAGCACTGGACTATGTAGCTAGCAACGCCTCAGTAATGAACCTCCTAGTCATCAGTTTTGACAGATATTTTTCCATCACAAGGCCTTTAACTTACCGGGCCAAACGCACGCCCAAAAGAGCTGGCATCATGATTGGTCTGGCTTGGCTAATTTCCTTCGTGTTGTGGGCACCTGTAATCTTGTGCTGGCAGTATTTTGTGGGTGAACGAACAGTACCACCTGAAGAGTGCCAGATACAGTTTTTGTATGAGCCCATTATCACCTTTGGTACTGCAATTGCTGCTTTTTACATTCCAGTGTCTGTGATGACCATTCTGTATTGCCGCATCTATAAAGAGACGGAGAAACGTACCAAGGACCTTGCTGAACTGCAGGGTTCGGAGTCTGTGGCAGAGTTTGAGATGATAAAGCCTCAGAAAGCTCTCCTGAAGTCTTGCTTCAGCTGCAAGCAACAAAACTTAGTCAAAAGAGAAAGGTGTCAGGCTTCCTGGTCTTCATCTAGTCGAAGTACATCAGCTACGGTAAAAGCCTCTCAGGCAGCGAGTACTTGTAACGACTGGGCTAAGGCTGACCAGTTAACCACCTGCAGCAGCTACGCATCTTCGGAAGAGGAGGATAAACTTGCCACTGATTCAGTTTTCCAAGTAACTTACAAAAGTCCATCTAAAGGTAAGGCAGAAGAGTTTAATGAGAGTATGGATGTTGTTGTCAAAGACCAACCTGAAGAAAATGATTTTGAGAACCAGAAATACTTTTTGTCACCTGCCAAAGGCCACGTACAAAAAAGTAAAAAATGTGTGGCCTATAAATTCCGGTTGGTGGTTAAGGCTGATGGCACCCAGGAAGCCAACAATGGTTGCCGTAAAGTAAAAATAACTCCTTGTTCTGCTGCTCTGTCAAAGGATCCTTCCATCAAAAGCATGGATCCAAATATAAATAACCAAATCACCAAAAGAAAACGGATGGTTCTTATAAAGGAACGCAAAGCAGCACAGACTTTAAGTGCCATTCTTTTGGCTTTTATCATCACATGGACTCCCTACAATATCATGGTTTTGATCTCTACATTCTGTTCTGACTGCATTCCTCTGACACTGTGGCACCTTGGATATTGGCTATGCTATGTGAACAGCACTGTTAACCCCATTTGTTATGCCCTCTGTAACAAAACTTTCAGGAAAACTTTTAAGATGCTGCTTTTCTGCCAGTGGAAAAAGAAAAAAGTCGAAGAGAAACTATACTGGCAGGGCAATACCAGACTGCCATAATTGCTCTTATATAAGGGATAAGGGGGAAAATAGATATTGACGTAATCTAGTAAATTGACTGTAATTCTGTCTTTTCAAAGCTGTTGCTTTATATGTCTAGGGGTTAAAAAAATTCTGCAGAAAAGTAAAATTTTGCATGCAAGTAGTGTGCTTTCATGCAAAGCACACTATAAAGAAGTCAGTGGCTCCTGTGAGCAACACAGGGTGTTTTTGATTATGCAGTAGATCTGCATTGAAGTTATTATGTTTGGGGTCTTCTGTCCTTTCTTTCAGCCTGAGAATATGTAGAGTAAATTATAAACTACTAGAACTTAGAGTGGGATGGTCATCCAGTCATCAGGCCAGGTCATCCAGTCTATCTCCCTGTAGTGCAGAACTGTTTCTTCTTATAGTGCCTTTCTAGTGTATTGTCTGTTTAGTTTTCAATGTACCAAGCGATGGAGCTCATAATACTTCTGTTTTGAGACTTTTCCACCTGCTGTTGGAATGAAACAAGGATCGTTTAAAGGGGGAAATGCTGTCATCCCTAACACTAAATGGTTAGGGAGATTCATAATACTCCAAATGAACACACATATTATAGGAGAATGTAATACTGAGAAAATTTCCACTATAAGGATGACTTTTGTGGAGATATAGGAAGGGCTCATAGTGGAGGAAATAGATAATGTATTTTGCATATGAATAAGCCAGTCCCAATCTCAGTTCCATCATGCAAGTCACTGTCATCTGTAAAAAATGGTGATGGTTAGCAGATACCTCTGAATTTCTCCGTTTCCCAATGTGTCTGAAGGAAATTTTTAAATTTTATGTGATAGTGATAATGGTACAAATCAGAACTGACTGTAAAGCATAACAGACATAGTGTATCTACTTTACAACACAAGGAAAGTCTTTTTTGCCATCTCCTTTGTTGCGCTTCCCCTTGCCCCAAAAGTTTCTGTTACTGATGGAATGATGCAGAACAAGAGAAAAGTATGTATTGATGCCCTGTGTATTTACCTACATATTATGAAATTATTAGAAACAGTGACAGCATTGGCATCTCTGAAAGAAGAAAGATTTTTAAATTTTTGAATATTTCTATAAAACTATTAAGGACACTGC